GACTGCAGAAATTGTCAATGACCACAAGTACTTGGAAGTGATCATACAGCAGAGAAGAACCTGAGATGGGACAAATGCTGTGACACCATTTATAAAAAAAAGGTTAATAGAGACTCTTTCGTCTTAAGAAACTGGGCTCTTTTAAGGTAGAAAAACTTACTTTACTATATTAAAATTATTCTACAAGTAATTTATTAAAAGCATCCTAACATACTGTTTCACTTGTTGGTTTGATAACAACAGCACCATTAATTGCAATAGGTTGTGAAAATTGCCATATAGCCATCATGACAGCTCATCTCATAAAGGTTCAATGGGAATTCAATTAATAATAATAATAATAATTGCTTACACTTATATAGCGCTTTTCTGGACACTCCACTCAAAGCGCTTTACAGGTAATGGGGACTCCCCTCCACCACCACCAATGTGTAGCATCCACCTGGATGATGCGACGGCAGCCATAGTGCGCCAGAACGCTCACCACACATCAGCTATCAGTGGGGAGGAGAGCAGAGTAATGTAGCCAATTCATAGATGGGGATTATTAGGAGGCCATGATTGGTAAGGGCCAATTGGAAATTTGGCCAGGACACCGGGGTTACACCCCTACTCTTTTCTAGAAGCGCCCTGGGATTTTTAATGACCACAGAGAGTCAGGACCTCGGTTTTACGTCTCATCCGAAGGATGAGAGCTTTATTATCCTCTGGGGGAAATATGTTTTACAGCACAGTCCAATACAACAATACAACAAGGAAGACAAATATTAATGACAGAAAAAATGATACATTAGTGTTACAGGAAATAAGAGAGTTACTTTACATTGGTTTAGAGTGATATCGCAACAGGGATGAAAGATTTCCTGTGATTACTTTTACATCTGGGGATGCAGAGGTGTCTCTCAGATGTAGTGTAAATTTGCAGTGGAGAGGATTAGGCACACACAACATAAGGCTCTTGGCCTTCTTTACAACACTTAGTTTGTAGAGGATATACGATATAAGGCTACTTAATTTTCCCCGTGTACAGCATGCATGTCCAGATGTTGCTTATTGGCCACACATGCTACTAGCCTTTGACTTTTATGTTACTCAACAAAATGAATTGACATCTGTCAAAATAGTGGCAGTGCACCTGTTGCAAATAGCCATGTTCTTTTAAGTTTGTGACTGTGCTGCAGTTATTAATGCTGTTTAATGCACACTGTGCTCTATAGACATGGACTCCTGGTCCTCCTGGACTGGACTGCTCCAGTAACCTCTGACCTTTCCCCTTTAAGGCTTACCTTTTTCCTCTCCTCTTCTGGAAAATTGATAGAGGTCCCCCCTTTACCCTTTTTTGCCTCATGCCTGTGTAGAGAAAGCCTCTTTCTATTTCTCTCGGGCCATTACCTACCTCCCTTCAGTGACTTGCATGCCCATTGTAAATGAAAAGTGTGAGCCTGATAGACCTCCTCAAGCCTGTTTATTTTCCTCTTAATGCCTCCACAAGAGCTGAGCCCACCAAAATATGAATATACCATATGTTTCTATTTTCAGGGGTGCATGCAGAGGATTACTGCACCACTTACAGGGATGAAGTTGTACAGCTGCTTAGGTGGTGTCATAGCAATAACCTGGACTTGAACATAAAGAAAACGAAAGAGCTAATAGTGGACTTTCGGAGACACAGGCCACACACTCACAGCCCACTCAGTATTGATGGAACGGAAGTGGAAACAGTCACCAGCTTTAGGTTTTTGGGAATTCACATCTCTAAAGATCTAACCTGGACTGTGAACACTGACTCTATCATGAAGAAGGCTCAGCAGCGCCTTTATTTCTTGAGGTGCCTCAAGCGATGGGGGATGCCAATACATGTGTTGGTGAACTTCTACCGCTGCACCATCGAGAGCGTCCTCACCAACGGGATCACCGTGTGGTATGGCAACACCTCTTCGCGAGAAAGAAAGGCACTGCAGAGAATGGTCAATATGGCCCAGAAGATCATCAGCTGCGGTCTCACCGAGATTAAACAGCTCTATGAGGACCGCTGCCGTGGTAGAATTCTGGCCATCACAGAGGACAGTCACCACCCAGGGCATGAGCTCTTCACCCCACTGCCCTCAGGCAAGAGATATAAGAGCATACGGACACTTACCACTAGATTCTTAAATAGCTTCTATCCACAAGCAGTGAGACTGGCGAACACATTTAGCCATCCCCCTCGGACCACACCTACACCATCACCATCTACCTCATTGTAATTTATTTATTGTACGTCTCCAGTCATTGTTTACACGTCTGTATTGTTTACATTCAAACTGTCTGCATGTTTACTTGCACATTGTCTATTGTTTGTTTGTACATTGTCTTGATGCACTGTTTGCACTTTGTTTTGTTTTTTACACTTGTTTTACAATCGAGAGACTTTCTGTAAGTAAGAATTCCATTGTACCAGTACCGGTTACATATGGCAATAAAGTTCAAGTTCAAGTTCACTGAGCAACCTGCCAGGAGCACCAGAAGAAGTTGCAGATCGCACTCCTCCTGGCGTTGTTGATAACAAGTGCTTGCAAAGTGTGCGAATGGCTTGCTCCACGAGACCACGTGGATGTGGAAGGGTGGTCCTGGTCATCTGGTTGCCCAGCCACTAACAGACTGACTTGAGCACCTGGGATCTAAAGTTGTGCCCCTACTCTAAGTGGATCCCCTGTGAGACCCCGCAACTAGGGCCTTGCATACTGTCTCCGCCTCCTGATCAGGCTGATCAATATGCTTCTGGCCAGTGCATAAAGTGGTCCATGGCAGTTAAGATGAACCTGTTGCCCTGTGGCATATGGGGAAATGGACCCAGGATATTCACAGCAATTCTCGTCATGGGTGCACTCACTGGAAACTGTAGCAGGGCAGCAACACACTGGTCCAGGTGCTCCTTCTTTAACTGGTTTGCCTGCAGTAGTGAGCCTGCATAGCCACAGAGTGGCTCATAGTGAGCCCAGAGGACCAATGGTCTTAAAGGGGAACTGCAGTCCCAATTTCTCAGACTGGTTATTAAGTCTCGGTAACTAAATGAATTAATTTATGGTAACGCAAAAGTTGACAAATTCCAAATTAGGCACGAAATCGTGAACTTTGTGACAGTACTGGATAGTCGCCATGTGGTCGCCTGGTCTCCCCGCGAGTGAGAGTGAGAGTTTGTGAGACTTGTGATGTGCAGCGGCACTTCCTCCTCACCAGTCAGGCCCTTCCTCCTCACCAGTCACTGTAGTGGCTAATGTACTGCAATACACAAGCAAATAAGTACAGGTTGTGCAACAGACGTGTCACCACAGAAATGTTCCAACATGATCTATATGCAGAGTTAACAAGTAAGTTGTATTAGTCGGCAAAACCATCTCAAAATCGAGAGCAATATTTCTACTGTTACAGTAGAAAATTCAATATTTCTAGCTTTACAGGTCCCCTTTAAAGTTGTAGGCATCACAATTGGTCCCTGCACTTTGCTAGAGACATGCTTCAGCTTGACCTGCTGACCCAACCCTTCTGTGACACTCCCACCCTACAGTATAGCAGATGTGAGAGTGCCTCAGCTGGAGCCTCCAGCAGGAGGAGCTGCAGCTGGAGAGCTGAATTCACGGGCAAGTAGCAACTGGGGTCAAGACTGACCAAATCCCAGCACAGGAACTGCAAAGCACACAAAGAGATGACTGAAAAGTGCCTCGTGCAGCTCCAGTCTGCGATCAATCGGGCACATTTCTCATGGACAGTGATCCTGACACCACGAAGGACAATTATTAAAACTAATGGGCAAGAACTGATAATTCCTTGCATTTGTACTGTATAGCACCTTTCATCCCAAAGGACCTCGAAGTTTTTTGTAGTATGGAAGTGATCCACTTCACTTCACTAGTCTGTAGCAATGATCTGGGTTCTGTGCAATAATCATTATGCTCCGGGAGCACGTCTTTCAAACACAGGGTCTCTGGTGATATAACCTAATTATTTTTGGAGGAAATTGCAAAGGAAATTGGTGCTAAAGTAGTTGAGCTAATAACTGTTTACAGCTGTTACTGTTGCTATGAGATGGATGTGGATGCCAGGGTGCATGACTTGATAAAGAGCTTGAGTTCTGTTTCAGTGCTCTGCTTTATTCCTAGAACCCTCACTAGCAATTTTAAGTGCTACACTGTTCTTTTTTTGTATTTCTGCTACATACAATCTATTCTTGTAAAGTTATATCCAACTATTTAATCATCAACAGCATTATTCATATGAGTTCTGTATCATGATTTTCTTTAATGCTAAAGTGGCTTTTTAATGACTATTGGCTGGAAAAACAGTGGAGTAGGGTTGTCATTTGGTTCCATGAGGACTAGATACAGTACTCTGAAACAGGATAGACTTTTCAAGTTTCCTCTGAATTTAAAGACATGCGACCTCTGGTGAATTGATACTGATGCAGTATGACCAGACAAGATTAATTGTGCTCCTCTACTTTTTTATGACAATAAAAATACATTCAAATAAATATATGTATTATTTTGTTATTCCTTTGTTTGTTTGTTTTTGATTTACCCATATTTGATTTTCCCATATTTTAGATTTACAATACTAAACACCTGCTAATTTTGGTCTTGATTGATTGGAAAGTCTGCTTAAAATATGCATTGTAAATTAACAGGAGAGCGGTAAAATTAAAATGTGAATAATTGCAAAAAAAAACAATGAAACAAAATGTATTTGACAATTCATTCTGGATTTGTTTTGGTAGGGTGTGTGGATGGAAAACTATGGAATTTTCTTGGTGACATGGAATTAATTACACAACATGTATATAACAAATATTTATTCATTGCTTTTTCTTAATCCGGGAGAAACTTTAAAACTCGTCTAAACCCTAAACAACTCTTGGAATTTAAGAGCCAAGGGGCAACCCCCTTGTCTTCAGGCCAAACACTAAAATCTCAATAAAGTTTCCCTGTTTCAACAGAAGAAAGGCACATCTAATGTCTGCGCAAGCGCACAACTACATCAGGTGACAGGGGCATGACTCGATAAACAGGAAACAAGCAGATAAGTGAGCTGGGCTGCAAGATCAGGGTAAGAAAAATATTGTGATGTCAGTCACTTAAAACGTAATAATATCCAAGAAAGCCACGTACATCTTCATGTATTTGTGCACGTAAAGCATAATTGTTGAGACTTGCCAAACTGCCGAATCCAATTTTCACTCTACGTAGGTGGGAGTGATCGTGTAGAAAATGTGTAAAATGCTTCATATACTGTAACACCGGTGTGTTTGCGCTTGAGCTGCTTTACGCTAACGTTTCAGTGTAAAAGTGTCTGTTGACTTCAGTTGCCTAGTATTTCTTGGAAGCGAGGATAGTAAAATGTAGTTTTCTTTATTTGTGTCGAGCGCGTAGTTCCGCATTTTATTTATCAAGGGACTTTGTGTTTGCCTGACTGACAGGCAGGTGTGTCACTCGACGTAAGAGGTCAAATGAATAAGGTGCTTTCGTATGACTTCAGACTGAAGTTACAGCAGCTGATTTATTAAAAATAAGTTATTCCCCTTTTTTTCACTGTGATTGAAAAAATATGGCCCGTTTCTTTTTTTCCCCCTTCGTAATAAATGTACGTCACTGAGCTTTTCAGTCTAGTTAATACAATGGTCCAGATCAGATCGCACCGACCGTGTCCAGTTTTTTACTTCTCTAAATGTGGTAGGACCCTCTGTAATAGTCGCATCGTACTTGGCTATTTGCAGTTATTCAATTACGCAATTTCAGAGCGCTTTGAGGTGCGTCAGACACTGTGGTCCCAAAGGAAAGGGGATTCCTGAAGCGGTGTAGTGGGATCATACTTGACTTCTCTGACTGAAAAGACAAATCACTGTTGTTTAATAGAGGAACTGAAACAACATGTGTGTAACACCATCACCACCCCCCACAATACTTTTATTTGCTGAATCAATGCCAAACGAGCATGCACAGAAGACTCCACGTCTTTAATTAAATTAATTAATTTAACTTCAATTAAATTACGCAAACTATAATTGCGTTATCCAGAATGTTGTTTTAATATCCAAAATGTGTTTTATTTCTAAAGACACATTAAGAATGGAATGTTTTTAAATATAACTTAAGGCCTGATTATATTTAGGGTTTAGCCTGAGAATGTCAGACTTGCCTGTTCTGAAAAATGTAGATTCAGGTTGTCCGGTTCTCTCAGGCAATAAAGAGTAAAATGTCAGCAAATGTCTAGTACAGGGGATCCTGGTGCCAGTCTTGGTAAGGTCAACATACACTTGCTGGTTTTCATTCCTGCCTCGTACCCGAATGAAACCTTATTTTCTCGTGCTCAGACGTTTGGGATTTTGTTTTGCTGCTTATGAAATGCTGTGCTTGCTTGTGTAACTGAGGGCTCAGCTGGCACAGAACCAGCTGGCACGTGGGTCTTCAGGATGAGGTGTAGGAGCACCTGGCCTAGCAGAAGGTAGTTTGGTAAGCTGCACCCTTTCAGTGGTCTGAGCTGTACCGTTCATACGGATGGCAAGAAGGTTAAGAATGTGGAAAGAAAGGAGTGTATTGTGAGGGATCCGGCATTTTAACCAACCTGAGGAATGTAAAATGCCCTTATTCTGACAATCTTGTGAAGGACTGTTTTGTGGCGACTTTTTCATCTAAATATAATTTCGGAGTCCTAGCTAAAGATATCTGGGCCTTGGCATTCATGAGTAGTCAAGTTGGCAGTAGTTATGTTTATTGAAGGCATTCTAGAGGATTAGTTCCAGTAAGAGCTGCATCAGCATGCGTAGGCTGCAAAGTAACAGGTAACAGGTTTATTCTGTAATGAAAAAAAAAGAAACAACTTTTCCGAAAAGTTGTTTCCTTTCTTTTCTTTTCAGCACAGAATAAACCTGTTACCTGTTACTTTGTATTCTAGAGGATTAGCCGTTTTATCAGGATTATCAGGTAATCTTTTTATTGTCTTAAAACTTCATGATCACACTTAATTGAGAAGAGGCCATTTGCCTAAGCTAACCATTGTGATGGTAAGAAGCTAATTGACCCAGATATCTTTCCAGCTGTGTTGTGAAAGTGAGGGTATTAACCTGTACAACTGTTCAAGATGGCTGGTCAGCTTGTTCCATACTCCCACAACCTTTTGTGTAAAGTAGTGCTTCCTGTTCTGAGCTTTAAATGCTCTTCTGTGCAGTTTCCTCTTATTTCTCCCTCTGGTTCATGTTTCACTGTTGATTCTGAAGAAGTCCAGTGCATGGCTTTTTGCCTGTGTCGAGGATTTTCAATATGTGGATCAGGTCTCGCCACAGTAATATCAAGAGTAGTAATATCTTTTTTGTAACATGCAATATTCTGAGTGAGGTCTTACAAGTTCATTATAAAATTTTAATGTGTAACATCCCTTGATTCCTTGATTAAAATTCTATGCTTTTTACTAATCTTAATATTTATTGACTGATTTGTTTACCTTTTTTATTTATTCCTGTATATATTGTAAACATGAAATAAAAATGAATATTTTATCAAGATTTTTTTTATAACTAGCCTTTTCTAGCACAATGTAACCATAGCTTGTTTTTGCTACTGAAGGCATGGGAGTTTAGGCCAGGTCACACAGAGGCACCAGAGACAGCAGACTGGACTTAATCGGCCTTATGACAGTCCTGGGTGATCACCCTCTCACTGTATGTTGTGTAAAGAGCGTCTCAGCAAAACAAAGAGCTACAAGGCACAATCACAGAGGTGTGTGCAAAATTATTTAGTTAGGATTGGAGGAGCTTTTGATACTTATACATTATTCACTATAGTGACACACAAGTGATAGGTGGTTCATGTAAAAAAAATTCGATGAGGTTCATGTGTCTTGATATGGGGCTTGAGAGCGAGGTTCCATCTCCAAGTTCCCCCTGACCCCTATAGGAGCTCTGCTTCTGCCCAGAGCATTCCAAGAGCCGTTGCTTAGCAACCCAGATAGTGGCCCTCTTGTTCAGCTCTTCTCTCCCAGCACACCATGAGCCGTCTCCTCTCAGACCTGTCTCCCGCTCACAAGCCTGTCTTTCTCTCCGAGCCTCACAAACCCTCGCTGCCTGCATGTGATGCTCTGCACATGATGCATCAGGTCTTGAATTTTATAGTCACCTGTTTCAATTTCATGGGCTTCTTCTACAGTGTTTTCTCTTCTTCCTATTCTGGTTTCATTTGAAAATGTTACTATCGGCGGTTCATTTGTAAATGGGTAGGAGCTGGAGCTCAGTGTGAATGAGAGAGAATCGCTGTGTGAGGTGCACCAGCTTGCTTTACTGTGACATTTGTGTAACGCTCAATGTCAGTGTAATGTTGGCGCATTTGCAGTCTACTGCAGTTGGTGACATGCTATCAAGGTAATTTAGAAAAATAATTTTAAGCCTCATACACCACAATCATACATGATTAGGCCTTCCCTATTCTTGAACCGTTTCCACTCTAATGCACCAGTTGGGTGTGTGGGGTCTCAGAGTCTGACTCTAATTTCCCACTAGCCCTAGCCCAAGCTTTTGGTGCAGCAGAGTTTGCCACTGTCCTGTCTGGAAGGTGCTGGCGCTGTCTGCCCCTGAGTGACAGTGATCGAACCCTGGGTCAAGGGGGCGGGGCACAGATACTTGTGTTGCATGCAGTGGGTATTGAAAGTCCTCACCCCCTTTCAAAGTTTGTACCTTTACAAACTGCAACTCGAATTAGCCAAGTGAAAATACAATTCTGAAACATTCTGAAAATGTATTAATATTACAACAGTAAAATACCTCATTTGGATTAGTGAACACCCCCCTCACAATTGCATTTAAAAACTTGCTCAGGTACAACCAATCACCTTATAGATCACACAACAAACTAATTGGCTCCCACCTATGATCAGCTGTGGTGATTTTTATTAGTTCAGAATAAAAGCAGCTGTTTCTAGAGGATTCCACTGCTTGGAAATGCATTTCAAAGCAAAGTATCCACTATGGGCAGAAGGGTGCTTTGAAAAGAACTTTGAGATAAAGTTGTGGAAGGCACAGGTCAGGAGATGGGTATAAAAAGATTTCAGAGGCTTCGTTAATCTCATGGAGCACAGTTCAGACCATCAGTGAGAAGTGAAATATGGCACCACCCAGACCTTGCCTAGATCAGGCCATCCCTCCAAACTGGACGACCGAGCTACCAAGAGACCGATGGCAACTTTGAACGAGCTACAGGCCTTTATGGCAAAACTGGTCATATGGGAGGGTGGCAAGAAAAAAGCCACTCCTTAAAAAAAGCCACATCAAGTCTCGTTTATGTTTTGCTAAAAAGCACCTTAAAGATGCTGTGGTCAGATGTGACCAAAATCAAACTTATTGGCCAGAATGCAAAACGGTACATCTGGCGAAAACCCAATACATCTTTCCATCCAGAGAGCACCAGTCCCACAGTAAAGCACGGTGGTGGCAGCATCCTGTTGTGGGGGTGTTTCTCTTCAGTTGGGACAGGGGCACTTGTCAGGTTAGAAGGGAAGATGGCAGCACAGGCAAATTCTTGAAGAAAGCCTGAAGCCTTCAGCCAAAGCATTGACAATAGGAAGATGGTTCACCTTTCAACAAGACAATGACCCAAAGCACACCGCCAAAGCAACCGTACAGTGGCTGAAGGACTGGAAGGTGAATGTCCTTGAGTGGCCTAGTCAGAGCCCCCGATCAATCCCATCACAAATCTGGAGGGCAGTCCATCAACGGTCACCATGCAGTTTGACTGTGCTTGATCAATTTTTTTCCAGAAATTTTGCTTTCTTTTTTCACTTGGATGTTGCAAGGTACAATTTGAAAATAAAACTGGAAGAAGTCTGATTTTATTTGTCTTCTTTTGGGGCTTTGGGACAACAAAAGGTGAAAATTCTGAAAGGGGTTGGTGACTTTCTATACCCACTGTATGTAGCTCATAGGTAACCACAATTGACAAAAATATTGCAATTTATTCACAGGAAAAAAATAATTTATTCATGTGATTTAAACATTTTTTTGGCTTTTTGAAAAGGTACGAGCTGGAGTGTAACCGGCTCAAGGCACAGCCAGGCCACATTAT